TCTGCCCGCCACTATAAGCTGTTTCACTTCGCTTGGCAGCAGTCTGGCACCCTCACTATTCAGCCTAAGAAATGACCAACTCTGCAAGTTTTCAATCTTATCTTTAAGACCTTGACCACCCATCTATCCCCAGGACTTCATGAAAATCTACCTCATTGATATCGTGCTGCTTAGCTTGGAGGATTAGAAGGAGCCAGAGCCAAGTGTGGTAAAACACTTATGAATAAGTGGGGAGACAAATCCTGGGGCAGGGTGAGGGGCCCATTCAGCAGTTTCTGGAGGAACAGAAAACCTTCCTTCCCCGGAGTGGAAATACAAATTGCACTTGTGTCCTGATCCACCCTGTTTACTCCAGATACACAAATTGACCCTCTTCAAATCTTATGAAAGCTCTCACATTTGGATGTCCTGCTCCAAATGCATTTACTGGGTAGCCCTCAAATCTACCATTCATCTGTGAGACCTTGAATAAGGGAAGAGTCTATAGGTGGTCCAGGCTGCAGCAAGGATGATTCTGGCAACCCTATTCCTCACAACACAGCAGAGCATGTATTGTAAATTGGAAACCTAACCATTTGGAACTTGAGGCAAGAATCAGAAGAGATCTTGGTATCTGAGAAAGACCATGGCCATCCAGGATTCTGCTGGAAGTTAGACCATCTAAAGGGGGATCCCACAAAACTGCAGACCAGACTGGTAGGAACTGATAGCCTATCTAAGCCGCTTATAGCACTAATTCATTAGAAACAGTACAGATTGACTGGACTTGAGTTAACCTAAAGGTAACACAGGATGCCTATATGAGGAAGATGGCTGTGGGTGGAGAAAAAAATGCTGAAGCTTAGTTGATAGGTAGACATGTATGACATACTGACCTCAGCAGACAGTGAATGCTAAGGCGATATAGCCCCCATGCAGGATGTTAGCAGGAGTGAAGTGAAATCAGCCCAAAGAGCTTCAAGATCTGAAGACAGGGGCTGAAGTTGTAACTTGGTGGTAGAATGCTTGCCTTGCATGTGTGAGACATTGGGTTTGATTCTCAGCACCACATATAAATAAATAAAGGTCCATTAAACAACTTAACAAAAAATCTGGAGACAGATGGCTTGTGTCTCAATCTTGGCACAGAGAACTTGGAAAGAATGAAACTGGAAGATGGTGACAAGCAGGCTGAGAGAGGAGTACATATATAAAAATGGGTTTCCTAATACAGGCTATGTCCCATGCAAAGTTTACCACGGGCTTCCATTGCAGGGAATCAGATGGTGTCTGAGGCTGTGGAGCAACTGGTCAAATCATGGCCCACAATGTGTGCCCATCAGCTCTCATCCTGGAAGCTACTTTGGGCACCTGAAAGCAGAGACTCCACTGTGCTCTAACCAGAATCAGTGCCCCATGTTACCAGCTGAGAAGGAGGCCATGGCTCTCAGGGTTTGAGTGCCCTGGGGAGGCTGGGTCCAGGGCACCACCTCTGCTTGCCTCTTCTCAGCTGTTTTCCTCACCTAGAAACATGAGGGTCTGCCCATATTCCTTCGTCTCCATGGATTCTTGGGGATTAACTTTAGAAGTTAAGGATCACAGAAAGAAGCTGGGTTTGGTTCTTTTTCCTCTTACGGTATCTAAAGTTCATGCAAATAGCAGCAAAGGGGAAGCAACTCCATCTGAGAGAAATGTATCTTTGTCTTTATGTGACATGTTGCTTTAGAGCCTGAACTGGGCCATGGATCTACCTGCTCACCTTATTCAACTTTCTGAATCTTTTTAAAAAATTTATTCTGGTTTGTTAAACTTGATGGCAGAATGCAATTCATTTCATATTACACTTATAGAGCACAATTTTTGAAGACACTGATTGTACACAAATAATATATAATATTCAACTTATTGGGTTGCAAATTGTAAACTCAAAATCCTAGTTATTCCATAAGAGTCATGTTCTGTTTACAAATCTTAATACTCTATGAACAAATCTGGCAGATTCTCTATTCACCTTAAAAGAAGATTTCCTTGGTTTCAAAGTACTTAAAATTCTAACTATATACATGTTATTTTTAAATTTCCTTGAAGTTAAAGATTTTTTTTTTCCCCAAAAGGAAAACAACATGTCAAACAAGACAGTTTTAGGAACACCTGCCCAAAGGATAATGGAGGGTTGGGAGTGGGGAGGAAAGCTGTACTATGTTCCATCATTACTTCATTTTCAAATTGAATTAAAACCACAAATTCCTTCCCAGGTGACTATACAGCTAACTTGACTTTGCACTTTTTTGGCTCTTAAAATGATTATTTTCCATCTCATTCCAAAAAACAAAAACAAACAAACTTTCTTCATTTTCATCCTGTTTGCTAGGAATACACAATTCTTACAAATATTAAAATGATATGATATTCAATAAATGTCATTAAATTTAAAAAAAAAATCCCACAATTTTCTGAATCTTGATCACCTGTATCCCTGGCACCCATAAGGCTTGGTCCAAGGGCTTGACAAGCCACATGAACTCAAAAAGCCTTGGTCAACCAGGCCTCCCCTCCAGCACCAATTCTGAGTGGCCCAAGAATACTGGGAATGCCAGGGCAGATGTAGGTCACTCAAATCACAGGTGGAGAGCAACTAGGAGAAATGCAGTCATGGACATGCCACACCTGGCCAGCAAAGCCCAGGATTAAGCAAAAGGAGAACCATGGCTAATGGTTAATTTGTAGCTCAGGTACCAGGTGTTACCTGCTCTTAGCCAGTAGTGTCTAAAGCTCCAAATCAGGGACCAATAAACTTTTTCTGTGAAAAATTATAATATTTTAGTTTTGCAAATCATTCAGTATCTATTCCAACTCCTCATCTCTATCATTGTAGTAGCACAATAGTAGTAAAAGAATAGACAAGGTTGTGTTCCAATAACACTTTATTTACAGGCAGGAGGCCACATTTGGCTCAAGGACTGTAACTTGCCAACTACTGTTCTTGATGTTAGGAGATGGTCTGGCTGCCCAAGAGAACTGTCACCCAGTCCAACCCTCTGTGAGATGGAAAACACTCGACAGTCTGGTACAGTCCTGAGGTTGTACTTGAGGAAGAACAGGTTACTGTGGTTGAGAGTTTCTGACCAAGTGTGGATGCAGAGGCCAGATGTGAGGGTGGTCCTGGAAAAGCCTAAGCTTTCCTCCTTGGAAACACAACTGCTTCATTCCAGATCAGGCCCAGCCCTCCTACCCCCATACACACTCTGTCCCTGGTAGGAACTGTCCTTATTGGCCCACTAGGAGCCCCTGTGCTTAGGTCTGACCACCAGACCCTCTTTGGTGATGGCCCAGTTGTAGTCCTTTGGAGAGTCCAAAGCTTCTTCTATCCGGGACTCCAGATTCTCTCGGGTGATGAAATTTTTAGCCTCCTCCTATTGGGAGAGAAAAGGCCAGCTGCATGGGAGCCCTGCCCATGCTGACAGTCTGGGAAGCCTGCTGGCCTTTAGCCCACCTAGGGAGAGGCTCCAAGCTCTCCCTAGGAAACCATGCCTGGAGCCCAGGGCCTATTTGAGTGTCCCACTGACATTCCAGTGGAATAATGCCAGACGGCCTTAGTCATATTCCTCTTTCTTAGACAATCTTCCTGGGTCACAGCCAGAACTTCAAGCACCAACTGTGATAACCTCTGTGTTCCAAGGGGTGGATTCAGTTCCTTGATGCTACCTGGTTATTCTCACAAACTCGGTACTTTCTGCCCTATTTAATTCAAGTCTCATCCACTGCCTCTGGATTATGCCTCACTGGTCTTACATGCCATTCTCAGCTTAGCATACTAAACCTTTATGACTTTATCAACTGCAAGGTCAAACGCACCTTCCTTGTGTGCCTGAGCTAACACCTGCCAGAAGCTTGTACACTTTCCCAATTCCACTCCCATCTCCTTCTCTCTTGGTGCTTCACAGGCATTTCCCTTGGGCCCCTTCTCTCAGATCCCTCTGTTAACTGAATCTGCATTCCCAGGAGCCCCAGCACCTCCAGAGCCGTGGCCCACCTGCAGCTGTAGCACTTCTTGCTCCTTGAGCTGCATCCAGGCCTGCTCTTCCCGGGTGCGGCGGGCCCGTTCCTCGGCCTGCCGCTGCTCCTGCTCCTGCGCCTCCAGCAGTAATCTCGCTAACCTGCGAGGGGCAAGAGGCCGAGGCTGAGCGGGGCCCAGCTAGGCCAGGGCACCCCGCCTAGGGTCCCACTCACCGCAGCTCGTGCAGCCGCTGGTTCTCCGCCTGGTTCCAGGCCATCAGCTCCCGGTGCTCGGCGGCGTCCTCCTGCGCCTTGCGCTCCGCCAGGACCCCCGCTCGGGCCTCGTGCACCTTCTTCCGCACCTCCGACACGAACTCCAGCCTGGGCGGGGACGCGCTCCAAGTCGGCACCCTCACTACCCGCCCGCTCGCCCCAACACTCCCCAGAAGGCGCCTACGGTCACCAGCCCCTCCGTCACACACACCTGAGGGCGCGCACAGTCTGGCGATACTGCCGGTAACGCTCCGCCAGCACGAAGAATTCCGCAGGATCCACCGCGGGCGGAGTCTTCACGCGCCCGACCTTGGACTTGGCGGGCGGGTCGTGGCGGGTCTTGCGGCCGCGCGCGGGCAGCAGTAGCAGGGCCGGAGCCCGGCACGGGGGCAACGAGCCCAGGCCGCTCAGCGTGCGGAGCATGGCCGCGTTGCTTTGCAGCCGCCCGCTGCCGCCAGGCCCGGAAGCGGCCGCAGGGCACCTCGGGACCTGCAGTCCCCGGGACCCCGCCCCTCCCCAGGGGGCGGAGCTCGCGCGCGGCTTTCCCACCACTCATCCCCGCCCCCGGGCTCGGCCCGGCCCTCCCGGCAGGCGTCCAGGCGGCGGGGTCCTGCCGCCCCTGCCCCATTAGGGAGTTTCTGGGGGAGTGGGACTGGGAGGGGATGAAGAAAAGAGCTCGAGGCAACAGCTTCGCAGACTTCACACTTTTATTGAAGGATGGCTTGTCGGGGCGCTCGGGCTGCGTTCTGTGAAGGGAGAGGGGTAGTCATACCTCGGGCTGCTCGGTCCCCTTCCCTCCTGCCATCTGGTCAGTTGATCTGCTTTCACGTTGCTCGGATGCACCCCGCTCCTACAGGAGCCTGAGAACCCAGCTTGGGGATTTCCAGCCCATGACCTTGTTCACCCCAAACAAGCTTGATGTGTAAAAGCCCGAGCTAACATCACTTAAATTAGGCGATAAGGCTGTGCCTCCTAGGAATTTACCACTTCCTCCTTTAGTTCATGTGCACCCCTGGTGCACTTTACATGTGTTCTATTTGCAACTAGTAATAACGCATTTTCCTACACCTGTATTCTTCTATGGTCTTGGGGAGGTCTAAAGTCACTGAGTTATTCCGAGTCCAAGTCAATGACCATTTGGCTCTTTGAGCACTGCTACCTGTGTGAAGTGCACTCCTTCCCTCTTCCCTCTGGCCAGAGGGCCTGCCCACCTTGAAACACACCGACTTGGCTGTCATGAAGTCTAGGGAACACCACAGCTACCACTCTTTTATATGGGCCTTTTTAATACAGTTGTTCTACTGGGGAAAGGGGCATCCCAGTGGTGTCTCACACTCCCCAGTCTCCAGGCAGGATGGCCAAAGGGGACCCATGGATAATCTTGAACGAAGGGGACCTCTTACCGCACTCACCATTAGGGTCTACACCAGGTGCTGGTTCCTGTGGAGGGACAAGCGGGCCATGGTCCTGCCCTTCCAAGACATTGGATCCTCAGGGGGAGCCAGTGCATCATTTGGTAGGCTATCGGCAGCCCGAGTTGGGTTGCCAGCTGCAGAGCACAAGACCCTTCCTCAGAAGGGAACAAAGGCACCTGCCCCCACCTCCCTAACCCCAGGAACCAGCATTGTTTTCTTCCCATTCAAGCTGGGAGGACCTATCACCAACCTGAGGACCTAAGAGCACTTGGGAGGTCCTGGAGTGAGCTGGAGGCTCGCTTTCCTCCGGGGTACCAGCCATAGGACCAGTGCTGAGCCCTCGAGGGTCCAGGGTGGGCAGTCAGCAGCAGTAGGAGCAGCAGCAGAAGGCCTAATCTAGAGCTAGCCATGGCAGCACTGCTCTGTAGGACAGTGGAGAGCACTCAAAAGTCTGACACTGCATCTCAGGGCAGCTTATTATTTTCCAAAGCCTTTCCCTCTGCGCCAGTCCTCCCACAGAGCTCTGGAGCACAGGCTCCCTCCCCAGTTCTGAGGGCCCTCTTAGTTAGCCAGGCCTGTCCCTCCTTCCTTTGGGAAGATTAAGAGGGGAATAGACTTCAGGCCAATAGAAGGGAAGATGGTTGGATGGTCAGGGGAATTCTCCATAAGTCAAGCAGCAGAGTAGGGTATTTGGAGCACCTGAGTTTCTGCCCCTTTTCTCTGTGGCCTGTTATCTCTCTTCTTTGGTAGTTGGGGATATGGAATGAATGTGTGGTGACTGGAGTAAATGTTTCCACCCCTGTCCCTTTCATGCCAGGAGTGAAAAGCTCAGGAACAGATTAATAGAACTGGGGGGAAAAGGAAAAGGGGTATGATTCAAGGGTGGAAGGACTTGGGAATAGGAAAGAGGGACATTGTGCCATGCACCCAAAGAGAGCTCCAGCTAAGGCGGCATTCTCACTCACCAAGGGAGAGCTGTGGAGGTTGCTCCTTCAGGCAGCTGCAGACCCTAGTCAGACAGCCTGGGTATTTATTGACCAGGAGGTGGCTTCTCCTGCTCCTGGTCCCTGGATTCCAGTGACGTCTTGAAAAGGAGGTGGGGTGAAGAAGTGCTTGCCACCCAACCCCTTCCTGCTGGCTCTAAGGCCACCAGACCATGCTCCCTCATCTTCCCAGGGGACTTAAGTCATACATAAAAATCAAAATGGCTGCAGAGTGGTCAAAAGGAGAGCAAAGATCCTTTTCCAAGTCTTGAAGTTTTACTGACAGTGGTAAATTGCCACAAGGTTTCATGTTGGGAAACAAACTTGACAAAGGGAACAAATTTCTATTATTAAATACCTTGTAAGGTTTGAAAAACACCACAATGATCAGTTTTGTCTCCTGAACTGGATATTTCAATGGACTTATAAAATTCACCACCACCCTAATTTGCACTGGACTTCACTCAATCCTATTTCTCTCCCAAAGCTGCATGGTCCCTTTCAGAGATACCTAACCTGTTTCCCAATTTGCAAATCTATTTTGCACTTGGATAAGTCTGGCTTTGCTTTTATTTTAACCTTCTTTATGATTTCTTGGTTTACAGAAGTCACAAGATTTCTGCTCTAGCTGGTCCATTTCCTGGTCTCACCTTTCAACTTCCTAGGGTGTATCAAACTCTTGTTTGCCCTGGAGCTGTATAAAGACCTTCCTGACCCAAAAAGGAAACCTTGGCCTAGAGAGGGGCAATATATTGGGATTCCCTGACCCAGCTCAGGGCTCTGCCCAGTGGAAAAGAGGGGAATAGAGTGGGGTGCTCGGCAACCTAACTGGAGATCTGGGGGAGGCTGTGACCACTCTCCCAGAGAGCTTGTTTACTCACCTATAAAATGGTCTGAATGGAAATGTTCACATTCATACACCTGGCACCAGGGCTGGGTCACTCCAGTTGTAGGTGGGTTTTTTGCTGGGGTATTACCTACCCCTGCTTGTCGCCCACTTAAACATGCCCATGGTTGAGAACCTGAAGTCTCCTTTAAGCATTCAACTGGGGGTAATTTTGTCTCCCAAGGTTCAAACCCCTTTTCATCCTGTGCTTATCCCAAGACCATTTGTGAATTGGACATAGCTAGCCTGCGATCCTGGAAACCAGCCTTTGCCTCCAAGCCTGTGTCAGTGGCTCAGCCTTCCACTGCTAACCACTGGCCTCAAGGGGTCAGAGCTCTATTTACAGAGTTAATAGCCAATCTCCACATCTGAAATCAATAGCAAATGCCAGTGCCAGGGTCAGGCTTGGCAGCATGGTGACCAGATCATTGGGCGAGAAGATGCGTCATATCCTGTGATAAGGATGGGGAAGGGTCACAACAGACATGAGGGGGCAGCCCTGGCACCTGTGCTTCAGGATGGGCCCAGATGTGACTTTCCAAATTGTCTTATTAGCAGAGACCTGAAATGAATCTGGGGACTATATGTTCAGTTAAACTGTATTGGGAAATTCAGAGACTTTGTTAGCTAGGTTATTGTTAGGAAAATATTTGCTTTATGCTTTAGTGAAAATAACTCTTTGAATTCGATCAACTAGCCTTGTTGTCTGGTTGGGTTTCAGAATGTTCCAAAGGCCCCAATGGTGTATGCATGTACAAATGTGTAACAACAATAATGCACCAATAAAAAGTATGGAAAAGAAATAAAAAACAGTCCCTGGTGGTACTAGGTGTGTTGATGTACACCCTGTAATCCCAGCAACTTTTGAGGCTGAGGCAGGAGGATCATGAGTTTCAGGCTAGTCTCGGTAACAGCAAGGCCCTGTCTCCAAAATTGAAACCAAACAAAAAAGTCATAAAGTTCCTGGTAGTTTGCCACCTCTCCTGGGGGGGTGGTGGTGGCTGTGGGGATCCAACCCAGGACCCTTGCAAATGCTAGGCAAATGCTCTATGACTGAGATATATCCCTATGTCCTTGGTGTTTATTTTAAAAGAGGAAAGAGAGGCTGGGGTTGTGGCTCAGCGGTAGAGTGCTCGCCTAGCACAGCACGTGCAAGGCACTGGATTCAATACTCAGCACCACATAACAATAAATAAAGATATTGTGTCCAACTACAACTAAAAAAAATTAAAAAAATAAAAGAGGAAAGGGGTGACTTTTTACATTTGTGTTTTTTTTTTTGGGGGGGTTGGGATTAAACCCAGGGCCTCATAAACGCTGCATGCTAAGTAAGAGATATACCTATGAATGAATTAACTCCCTTTTTCTGTAACCCCACCCCCAACACACACCAAAAATTCCAAACCAGAACTAAGCTTTTTTAAGGCAAGGTCTGGTCCCTTTCTTTCTGGCCACATGCTTAGCTTTTCAGGACTGTTTCATGTCCCTTCCAGACCACCAAACCTAGAATTCATCCTTGTATCCCTTTTGGCAAAAGAGGAAAGCCACTTATTTACTACTGAGTTCCAACTACACCTGGTTCTGAGGATATCAAATCACTCACCTCGGCTAGCAGTCAGTTGGGAAAGCAGAGGGCGAGAGCAGAATGTTTAGGTGTTGTGGGAGACATGCACAAACCTTGGGTAGTGGCCCAGGGCCAAGAATAAAGATGCATTAGCTAGCCAGGTGCAGTGGGTATGCCTGTAATCTAGTAGACATAGGAGACTGAGGCAGGAGGATCACAAGTTCAAAGCTGGCTTCAGCAACTTAGTGAGAACTTGTCTCAAAAATTAAAAATAAAAAGGCTGGGGATATAGGTTAAGTATCCCTACCCCAAAATTAAAAACATATGCTGTTTGTAAATGTTATGGTTGGATGTGGTGTCCCCCAAAAGTTCACATGAGACAATGCAAGAAGGTTCAGAGGAGAAATGATTGGGTTGTCAAGAGTCTTAACCAAATCAGTAAATTAATCCTCTGATAGGGATTAACTAAGTAGTAACTGAAGTGGTAGCGTATGGCTGGAGTAGGTGGGAATTAGGGCATGTCTTTGGTTTGTATCTGGCAAATGGAGACATCCTCTGCTTCCTGATGATGTGAGCTGCTTTCCTCTGCCACACTCTTCCACCATGATATTCTGCCTCAGTTGGAAGGGTGGGTCTGCTTACCATCCCCAAGGAACGGAGCTGGCCTTTGGGGACTAAGACCTCTGAAACCATGAGCCCTTAAACTTTTCCTCTCCTAAAATTGTTCTGGTCAGGCCCTTTAGTCACAGTAGCAAAAAAGCTGACTAAAACAACAGAGTTGTGGACTCAGAATGGCATTCTGGGGTGAGCTAGCAAAGGGACAAAATGGAAAAGGGCCAACAAAGGAACTGCTAGTGATCTGTGGGTTCTAGCATGGCAGGGTGGAGACTGGGTGGAACCCGAAGGACTGGGGGAAGCCTGGGGGTGGGGCAGCGACAGGTACCTCTGGACCACTCTGGGGAAAGGAGGCAAATGGAGAACTGAGGGTCCACACACACAGTTCAGGACCTCTAAGCTCTAAGGAAGGAGACTGGAAGCAGTTAATGAGGTCCAAAAAGAATCACTAGTACCAGCAGGGAGCTGGTGGACAAGGGGAAAGGGACCCCTGGGGTTTAGCACCTAGGCTGCCCTGGCAAGAACCAGTGAGAGTGGGGGTGAAGTGAGGAAGAGGAAGTAGTCAGAGGAGAGACTTTCTTACAAGCAAACAGGGACTTATGACAGCATTGGGGGGGGGACTTAGGTCTGGGGGAAATATCTTTTTTCCCCCCTTTTTCTTCATTGAAAGAGACTTCAGTATCTGGGGGTGGTGGTGAAAGAAAATGAAGCCCAGAAGGGAGCCGACTCAATATAAGTGAGGTCTCTAATGAGAGTGGCAGGACCCAGAATTTGGGGTGCACAGTGGGCGCTGGCTGTAACTCTTCCCTGCAGGGAAATAAACTTACCCACCCTAATTCCCTGGGGCCACAGATGATTGGATGTGGGGTACTGGATGAAGCAGTCACCCTAGCCCTTCTCACACATTGTGCTGTGAATGCCCAGGACATTGTTCTTTGAACTTACACTAGTTCCTGTTGGGTTCATGTCTCTTGCACTCTGAGTAAGAAAAGAATTAAGGGGGAGGGATGAAGGGATAAGGGTTAGTTCTATGGAAAGGAAGCAAAGAGACAAGGTAATTCCTGATGGAAGATAACTGATTAGTAATCAGGTGAAATTTAAAATATTGGCCCAGCCACTGACCAAGTCAGCACAGACTCTAGCAGAAACCTAAGAAACCTGGTCAGGCCACATTGATGTGCTCTGCCCAAAGCCAGCCTTGCTAATAGGAGATGAGCCACTTGCTGGGAGTGGAAAGGCAACATAGGGACAGAGCTTCACTTGCATGTTCACTGATAGCTTGCTGACCCCACCAACATACTCCTATATCTGCTGGACATAGTCACACAGAGGGTTCAAAGAGTAGCTTGCAAGGGCCAGGGTCTTCTCTTCAAACCCAGCATCCCTCATTGGAGATTCCTCAGATTCTTTGTTTACCATGCTTCTTTGGAAACAATATATTGAGTTTTGAGTCAACTGCCTCTTGTAGTTCCTACAGAAGGACTGAATGCCTCTAATGACTTGCACTCACCTCTTGAAGCTTCCAGAAGTAGTCTGTTGTAGTGTCCCTGCCTCCTGTAGGCCTCTGGACTTCCTTTCTCTCGTACCACTTCCTTCACACAAACATCATGAATATGTGGTGTACACTGAGTGCCCTCTTGAAGCCCGAGTTACAGTCTCATCTGTAATGCAGCTCCACTTGATCTTTTTTCCTCTAAATTCAACTCAATTTCCAGCATCCCTTGCTTGGATCCAGTTCAAGCTGCACTGCTTCAGCAAGCCATGGAACACTGACCTGAATGTGCTTCCATGGGCCAGGCTGGAGTGCTACCTCTCACTCTTGAAGCCTTTGAGCCCAGAGCCTGCCACAACTCTTCAAGGAAGGCCAGAGGCTGCAGGCTCCCTCAGCCCTGCCCTGCCAGCCTGGGCAATCAGTTTATCTTCTGTTCCCATCATGAGCTGCTCCTGAGGCTAGGAGGAGGGGTAAGCAGACCTACCCTTCCAACTATATCCCAACTAAGGGTCACACTTCTCAGTTCTCCTTGTAATTAGGTACAGCCATAGGATTATGTTTTAGCTACTGGGCTATGAGAAACCAAAAATGCAACTTTTGAGCTGGGAGCGGTGGTGAATGCTTACAATCCCAGATACTGGGAGGCTGAGGCAGGAGGACTCCAAGTTTGGGACCAGTTTCAAACTTAGTGTCTCTTGGGCTGAGGATGTGGCTCAAGCGGTAGCGCGCTCGCCTGGCATGCGTGCGGCCCAGGTTCGATCCTCAGCACCACATACCAACAAAGATGTTGTGTCTGCCGAGAACTAAAAAATAAATATTAAAAATTCTCTCTCTCTCCTCTCTCACTCTCTTTTTAAAAAAAAAAAAAAACTTAGTGTCTCAAATAAGATCATGAGAACCTACCTCAAAACGAAAAATAAAAAGGACTGGAGATGTAGCTCAGTGGTAGAGCATCACTGACTGGGTTCAATTCCGCCACCACCAAAAAAGCAACAACTTTTGATAAAAATGAAATTGTTTTGTGTTTACACTACATACTTTTACCCCTTGCCTGATTCAGATGCAGATGTGAAAGTGATTCAACTCCTGCCACAGGGATGAAAATTATATTTTGAGGACCATGAATCTGGAAGGCAGAAGGATACTGGGTCTCTGGGTAGGGCAGACTGTTATATAAGGAATACATAAATATTTATATTATTTAAGATACAAAACTTGACATGTTAAACACATCAGATTTGAGACCAGGTTGAAATCTAAGAATCCCATCATCTTGGCTTCTGGATCTGAGACTTTTCCACATTAAAGTCCTGGAAATGAGGACATAAATGAAAGGATGTGGAAGCCATTTGACACAATCAATGTGGACACAAAGACTTTTCTGGATAGTGACACAATCTAAATGGCTTTGAAGCAAAGCAGCAGAGCTGGAGAGGTCAGAGACCAACCTCAGGTCTAAGCCTGAGCCAGTTCCTCTTCTCCTGGTGGCCCTACTCTTTGCCATCTTCTCCAGGGTGTGAGGGTGGCTGAGACCACTAAACCAAAGATGTGCTGGGAAAGAAAGAAGGGTCTTGGAGATCACATCAGAGATGGAGGAGCTTGAATGATAAAAATGGAGAGCTGGGGAACTGAGAGAAAGCAGCAGTATAGTAGGGCCAGGAACAGCCTAGCCCTGTCTGGTTGCCCCACCCCAGACAAAGGGAGAGACATTTCCTCAGGGAGTCAAAGCTTTTATTACCTGATAATCCCTAGTGTGGTGCCAGAGATACCGCCCTGGTCCCATTACTCCCCCCAGGGGGCTGCTGGGATGTGAAGGTGTGTTTGAAGGAGGTGAGCTAGGGAGATAGGGATATTTACAGTGTAGGGAGGGGAATGGGGACTTACATGGGGATCCTGGGACAACCATTTCCTCAAGAGTTCTGAGAACTTTGTGCTTTTTTCTTAGCTCGTGCCAAGCTACCTGGAATGGGTTTATCTTCTTTAGGAAAAGATGTTTAAACCAAAGAACAATCCAGCCCAATTTCCAGGCTGAGGATTACACGATATCAATCAAACATCACACTATTTAATTCCCCAATAAAACATTGGAAAAAGGACTATCAGTGCTAACACATTTACATATAAAATCTCCATCTAATAGGTAATAGAAGCCTATGTACCAATTTCTAAAACAGTTATAAGATATATACACAATTTTGGGTATATTAACAAAACAGAATATTACAAAATATTAAAGGCAATTCTCCTGTCCATGGGGCCTTGTCGCCTGTTACTTGAAGTTGGCATAATCTGAGAATGCATCAATGTATTCCTGCACCACCTTGTAGCAGAACTCATACTGTTCCTGGAGAATGAAAGTGGGAAGAATGCCAAGGTTATTGAAGAGTATGTGGAACCACAGTTCCTAACAGAGCTGTTTTTAGAATGGAAATTGGAGAGGAAATGAATGTTTGTGGACTTCCACATGCACCTCGACCTGTCTGCCCAAGTTCTGATAGCTCTGCCCTCTGGATTAGCACAGTGGATGTTCTGCAAATAGAGCTGACTGGACTGGCAAGGACAAATATGAGTATGCTGGGCTGGGAAATGGTGCACCTTCACCATGGCTGCCAGACTGGCATGTGCTCTGCTCTTAAAGTCTCATTTCCTGGTAAACCTCCTAAAATTCACTTTTCTTTTCCCCTCAAACATTTCTCACTCCAGAAGTTTCAGGAAAACATTTGTGGATGTCCACACTGTTAAAAGTCAGATCTCTTAATAGGGAGCCTGAACAGAACAAAGGTAAGTAGTCCTGCTCCCCAACCTCCAACCCAGGGAGAAGCATAAACAAGCCCTGTGGGGCACCCGAGTACCCCTTGTCTAACGTGTCACATTCCCACTGGTGATAGAGGGTATATTCCCACTCTCAAGGCACTTGCGGGTTTGGACACCTTGGGGAAGGATGGGACTCCTAAGTGGGATTCTGAAGGCCTTCTCCCTGATGGGGAAGGATTGCAGATGGTGGTGGCACAAAGACATGAGCAGCATACCAGTGTCTGGACCATATGTGGCCTCTGCAGCCGCAGGCTCTTGACAGTCTGGAAGACATCCAAAATCCCCTCTGCTTTCACTCGTTCCAGGACTGTGCTCAGGGCACAGAAAGTCCCTGTCCGTCCTGCCCCAGCGCTGAAACAGAGCAGACAGACTTACTATGCCTGCTAAAGCTCTCCAAGCAGAGTGGGTGAGTATGAGTGACAAGGAGCAGACTGAAGCTGAGTCTGGTGCCTGGGAAGGTGCATGATCCATGGAGCTACCACAGGAGGGAGAATGGGGCAGGAGGCCCGTGCTCACCTCTGCCAGCTAGAGGAACTCAGCATACCTCTGGG